CTGGACCAGGCTGTGATGGGCGGTGATGTGCTGTGCTGGGCCAGGTTGGGCTGGGCCTGGCTGTGCTGGGATGTCCAAACTGTGACTTGTAACTCTGATGAAGGGTCACTTGATTCAAGATGTTAACTCTGTTTCTCTCTCCACAGATGCTGTTAGACCAGCTGAGTTTCTCTAGCAATTTCTGTTTGTGCACTATGTTTGGCACTGGTTTGGCTGCAAGAGTTGGTGGAGAGCTGCCGTATTTTGATAAAGGCAAAATAGTGCAGATGCTGGAAATCTGAAATAAAAGCAGAAAGTGCTGGAGAAACTCAGCAGCTCTGGTGGCACCTGTGGAGCTAATGGTTTGGGTTCAATTTGACTCTTTTTGCGACATATTTTGACACCGATTCCTTTTGGGTTCCACTGCAGATATTTTTGTCAGGGTTTACACCTTTAGTCTTTAGCTTTCATGAGGAATCCACAAGACAGTGTAGCTATTTGCCCAAAGATGGGAAGTTGGTTCATGTGTACTGGGGGTGTCAACATGCTAGATAACCTCACGCTCCATACCTGCGGGCCAAATCTCCTCCACATTCCCCTGAAGCTTTAGCCAGTGGCTGTGAAGGACCCAGTTTCTGTTGGTTACCACAAAGAGGTTCAGTTGACGACTTGACAATGGAGAGCCAGGGTCCTGATAGGAAGGGACTGAACATTTAGCTGTCTTTTTCATATCACTGAGAGTCATTGGTATAAGCTGAAGAAGAGGAGCAAACTAACACCCAAAAGTGGATTTAGTTCTAACTCTCTTCAAACTGACACTAAATAAATCTAGCTATCATCCCTTAACATTCAATGGCATTAGCATCACTGAAACCCTCACTATCAACATACTGGGGACTACCATTGACCAGAAACTGAATTGGACTAGCCATACTAACACTATGGTTACAGCAACAGGTCAAAGGCTGGAGTTCTGTGACAGATATCTCATTTCTGACATCCCCAAAGGCCTTCTCCCATCAACAATGTACAAGTCAGGAGTGTGATGGAATACTCTCCACTTTCCTGGATGAGTGCAGCCCTAACAACACTCAAGAAGTTCAACATTATTCAGGACGAAGCAGCCCCTGTGAGGCCTGGATAAGGTGGTTACTGGAAGGATAAGGGAAACTGGAATTAGGGGACATAGTTTAAGAAGAAGAGATTTCCTTATGAAGAGGAAGGTGAGGAGAATTGTTTTCTCTCAGAGGCCTGTTAGTCTGTGGAATTCTATTCTTCAATGAGCAGTGGAGGTTGTGTCGTTGAATTTATTCAAGAGAGAGTTAGATAGATTTTTGATAGACAATAGTTTCAAAGGCTATGGTGGGATGCAGACAGAAATGCGGAGTTGAAACTTCAAATATATCAACATTCATCTTATTAAATAATGGAGTAAACTCAAAGAACCAAAAGTCTTACTCCTGTTCTTAAGTACTCTCTGCATATGCAATTGACACAAACAAATTGAACCAACTGAAGAAAACTGAATTATCTAGTAACACTGGAGCAAGCTAAAGTAACACAGAGGACACAGCACAAAACTAACACTAGTCGCAAAACAGCCAAGAAAACCTTTTCCCCAGGGTAAGGGAGTCCTAAACTAGAGGGCATAGGTTTAAGGTGAGAGGGGAAAGATTTAAAAGGGACCTAAGGGGCAACTTTTTCATCCAGAGGGTGGTGCATGTGTGGAATGAGCTGCCGGAGAAAGTGATGCTGGTACGATTACAACATTTAAAAAGCATCTGGATGGGTACGTGAATAGGAAGGATTTAGGGGGATACGGGACAAATGCTGGCAGATGGGACTAGATTAATTTAGGATATCTGGTCGGTATGGACAAGGTGGGCCGAAGGGTCTGTTTCTGTACTGTACAACTCTTTGACTGTACAGCTGAATCGAAAACAGCTGAATGACTCATTCAAAGTAGGGCCGAGTCAAGCCAAATCAATCCAGCCAAAGAGAGCAAAGCCAATTCAAGCCAGCTGCTTATCGGTTCAGCCAACAAGGCCACACTGAATAGACTCAGTCACAGAGAACAGAACCAGCCCATTGAAACAGAACCAAACTAGAGATTGCAAGGAAAGACAACAAAATGAACTAAGATAATCCAAACCGACAAAGCACCAGAACAATCCAGCTAAAATAGATCAAAGAACGTGGCTAATTTAAAAAATTATCAAAGGCTTATCTGTCAATGCAGCCAAATATTTTAAAATTAGCTAAAGTAGACAACCTGTTCACTTTGAACAAGAACAGTCTGTGCTGTGTGAGACATTGAGGGCATTCTGCTATGTAAAGTTATTTTTGTTGTGTTTTATTTTAAGGCAACAGATCACACCTTCCTCCAGAAATGCCACTACCAGCACAGCAACAATCCCTGGTATGTGAAACCCAAACTGCCTCTCCCAGTTTTTACAATTAGACATTATGCTGGTCCAGTGACATACCAGGTAAGTAAAAATATTAATTTAATTAACTCTTCTGCTTAAATTTTGAATTTGCACTTTAATGATTTCAGTGCTGAGAATATAAAATGATTGCACCAATTGTATTGTTGCCCTGTCAAACTCTCCAGAATCAGGAGCAAAATTAGTTTAGTTACAAAGTAATGTTTCCTCTATACTGTCCCCATCAAACACTCCCATGGCAGGTAAAACACAGGGTTAGATACAAAGTGAAGCCTCCCCTATACCGTTCCCATAAGATGTCCCCAGGATAGGTACAGCACAGTGTTAGATACAAAGGAAAGGTCCCTATACACTTTTAAACTGAAAATAAAGCTAACACAACACTGTCCCCATCAAAAAAATCGCAGAATGGTTCCAGCACGGGTTAGATACAGAGTAAAGCTACTTCTACACTGTCCCCATCAAACACCCAAGGACAGTTACAGCATGCGGTTAGATACAGAGTAAAGCTCTCTCTCTACACTATCCCCATCAAACACCCAGGATAGGTACATCACTGGGTTGGATACAGAGTAAATGTTGCCATCAGGAATTCTAAGGGCAGGTACAGAATGGGAGGGTGAGAAGTGTTGTAGGGGGAGAGCAATGTTGGTGTGGGGGTAGTTGATGAGCAGTGTGGGTTGTTAGCACTGATGAAGGATGGTCAGTAGCATTGGGTGGTGTTGGCAAAGCACAGGGTGAGCAGTGTGGGTGTGGAGGAACGATGGGGTTGCTGAGTGGTATTGGGAGTCGACAGTGTGGAGGTGGGGGAATGATGTGGTGAGTACTATCAGTGGTGAGCAGTGTGGGGATGGAACAATGTTGTGGGGTGTTGGTGGTGAGTGGTGCTGGGTGAACAGTGTGGGTGGGGGAATGATGGGAGTGTGTGTGCTGGGTGAACAGTGTGGGTGGGGGAATGATGGGAGTG